CTCTCAAATAAATAAATAAAAATTAAAAAAAAAAAAAAAACACACAGAAAGTACTTCTTTATGTTTAATACATGTTTCAGTACCAACACCAACTGACACAGGCCCGCACAGAAAAGTACAGGAAGCAGCTGCGACAAGAGAGGGAGGAAGGAGCACGACGGAATTGTAACGCAGTCAACGAGGACACCGCCTTAACAAAAATAAGGTGCAAATACCTTACTGGCAACTACTTGTGGAGTATGAGCAAGAGATTTTATTCTTACTGCTGTGAAGCCTCAGTGTCAACTGCATTGATCTTAAATCCAAGGATAAAATCTGAATTCTAAACCAGGCACAGTGATTCACACTGTAGCCTGAGCACTTGGGAGGCTGAGGCAGGAGGATCAAAGGCCAGGCTAGGTTACATAGTGAGGTTGTCTCAAAAAACAAAAAACAAACAAAATATCTCAATTTTACTTGTCCATCTACACACCAATCATAAAGACAATTCAGTGCTAGTCTTGGATTACATTTAAAAAACAAAAGATAGATATTCAAATAATAATGTCTACTGAGACATCAGAGACAGCATTCTGAACAAACCCACTTCACACTACTTCAGAAGCAAAAGAACCTGCTCTTTTCTATTTCTACATTTAACAGGAACACTATAGCTCTAAAAGACACACCCTTGAAAAGCCCTCTGGTGTGGAGAACACACTCTAATGCAAACTGGCTATGGGAGATTCGGCCGGCCCACCACGGTATAGCACGAGCCCATTTCCACACAGAGTGAGGCCTGGGAAGCATTCGCCTTTACCTCACGCATTATGTATTATTACAAAAACTTACGAACACAGAGTAAAATCCATACCTGAATATATCCTGTGTATCTAAATCAATATGAAGTCCATTGATGAAGAGAGCTGAATCTCCAGGCTGTAATCCTAACGTTCCCTTGAAATACTGAAAAAAATATGCAGAAATTAAAATTTCTTAGGAAGCACTAAGAGAATGTTCAACAAAACTTTCTCTTTCTGGGCATTAGCCATATAAATCTGGACTTTCCACAGCTGGCCAAGATGTTCATCTATACATCCCCAGCCCCTCTTAGTACTTCCTACACCATATGAATTGCTGATTTATAGGACACATCTCTCTTTTCCCTCGCCTCCTTTCTTGTTCACACTCGCTTCCTGTAACGTCAGAGATGGGTGGATAAACCAAGGGCTTGAGAATCACTTTTCAAAAAGGGAATGTTAATAAAATAGGCCAAGTATATAAATTTTGTTTCTATTTAATTTTAAAATATAGCAAGTTTCTTCCTGCCCCAAGATACATTACAATACTGTAATCTTTCAGTTTCCTTTATCAATAATTCTCACAACTACCTGCAAGGAACTGAATCTAGCATTTTTACCAGACATTAATGGAAAAGACATATTTGTGCTTTATCTTAGGAGCAAAGAAAATCCCTCATAACCAAAGAAATTGGTCCACCCCTTACCACAGTATTGAGGACAGAAGGAAGTCAGCTGGCTATTCCAGAGGACCCACGCTAGGCTTCTCCCACCTACCCAGCTACAAAGTTGCAGAGGCTCTGGAATTCCCCTGCCTTTGCTCACCGGTGGCCGGCACCAGGGCACAGCAGGCTCGCTACCCTGGGCCTTTTACACTCCCCCTGCTTCCCGTTTGTGATGTTATGGTAGCAGTCAAAAGCTGGACCCTTTGGGCCGGGTAGATGGCTCAGTGGAATAAGAGCTTCCCTGGCAAGCTCAAGGGCCTGAGTTCAATCCCCGGTTCCACAAAAAAAAAAAAAAAGCAAAAGCTGGCTCCCTTGATGAAGTCCAGGAATACAGACCAAAAAAGGGTTCAAACTAAGGCACAACAAGAAACTTCTGAACTGCTACACTGAAGATAACGTACAGGGCAACCCACCCCTGCAAGACCAGGCCTCTGCAGAATCCAGAATCCTTCACTTGTGGCCTACCAAAGTGGTGGCAGTCCTGTACACAAGTGGCCACACAGCCTGAGATCTGTCTGAACCAATGGAAACACTGTTCTGACTCCATGTTGCATGTAGCTCTATTAAATAACTGCCTTTCTGATAGACTTTTTTCTTAAAGGAAACAGCAACTGTTACTTATGTATTTGAGAAGAGATAAAATTAATCAGATACCAGGAACAGACAATAATCCCTTAAGAACACAGGTCTAGGAAAAGGAAAAGAGGGCCTGGTGAGCTCCTTTACTCCCCAGATGTCAGTGGACTAAGGGGAGAAAAAAAGCAAGATCTAGCACCACACAGGAGAAACAAAAGTGAGGAAATCGTGGTCCTACTCCAATAGTGAGCAAGGTTACAGGATAAAACCAAAACGTATACATATTTCAAAACATCACACTGTAAGGGCCAGCCAAATAACTCAGTAGATTAAAGCACCTGCAAGCAGGCGCAGGGGCTGGGGTTCGATCCCCAGGCCTACCATGCCGGCCCTGCCCCAAGGGCATGCTGAGATGTCAACTGAGACTGGGCATGGTGGCATGCACCTGTAATCCCAGCTCTTGGGAGGCTGTAAACAGGTGGATCACTAGAGTCCAATCTAGTAGTGAGACCTTGAACACCCTGTAGACCCTTCCCTAAAATACAAATAAGGAGAAAAAAAAAAAAATCACATTGTATATCACAAGTTATTTATCAACTTAAAACAAGATAATGGAGAGCAGTATGAATTAAGAACTAGATTTTCTTCCACGGGAGAGAAGAATTCCACATTCACTCAGACTGCTCTGATCTGATAAATGTGTACTATCACATCATTTTAGATCTGTATGCTGACTGCATAGGTAGGCTCATTTTGGGAAAATCCATCACACTAAAGATTTAGGAATTATTCAGGAATGGTGGCGCATGCCGTCAATCCCAGTATTCACAAGTCTGAGACAGATGGGTTGTGACTTTAATGTTGGCCAAGACTACAATAGCAAAGCAAAAACCTGTCTCAAAGAAAACAACAATGTTCTGTCTTCTTTGGCAGTGAAGCTATAAAATTAAAATAGTGTTTAACATTTTCTGAAAATTAAAATTTAAATATAAATTATCAATAACATTCAGGTTAGTAAAAATTTGAGAAATACATGTTTATTTCAAAGATGTATTTAATAATGTCTTACACTTAAATATTTAAGGTAAAGATAATGAATTGAGCATGAGTATTTTCCCCCTCCTGAAACTCTACGGATAGACCAAGAAAAGGCCTCTTCGTTATTATCCACAGCAAAGAGAATAGAAGGGATAACAAATTTCAGCAGCCAGGGGGAGAGTAGTGATTGTTAACTGTCCCAGGCCTAGCAGGTCCAAGGGTGAGAACCGGAAGGAGAAACCACAGTTACTTTGTAGAATCGGCACTCCAGAGAAGTGAAGGCTCATGGCCTGGCAACTGAAGAACCACCAGGGGCGGGGGCCCTACTGAAACTGGAGGACTAAGGGTGTCACCAAATCCTTCCCCACAGAGCTTCTATAATTCTGGCAGCAAGACTATACTCTCAAGGAAGATTAGCAGATCCTTCTGCTAAGGATCCAGCCCTGTTGAGTTTTCTCCTAGCTATAAAATTCTTTTATTTCTATTTATTTACTTATTTATTTACTTATTTAATTTATTTATTTTAGGCAGGGTCTCACTATGTTGCTCAGGCTAACCTCAAATTCTTGGGCCCAAGTGAGTTTTCTGCCTCAGTCTCCAAAAGAGCTGGGAACACAGGTGCATACCAGCAGGTCCAAGGTAGCTGTCAATGTTCTAAGAGATTTATTGCTCTTGGATTTCATGGTGCTGTCCCACCTCTCTGAAGGTATCAGTGGTATGTGGACTTTCTTCTCTCTGCAGTCTACTTCCTCAGGTGCCCTTCTGGGTCTAGTCCCAGGTTTTGAGTCTGAGGCTTTCCTCACATCAGCGTCTGATTACCTGCATCCTGATGCTCATTATCATGATCCGGTATGGGGCACCAAGACACTACCCGGCAGGAAACAGACACAACCCAAGGGCCAGCCCCCAGGAAGTGGCCATCTCAAGCACCCTGCTACCAGAAGGTCTCATCCATAAGCCTTTTCAAATGAATCGAACTAATGAAAATATTCTGATGATTACAGATGGAGAAGCAGATCTCACACAAAGGCTTCACATTTCCCCAAAGCTATAAGGCAATCAAACTTCCAAGGGGCAGTTTCTTCACGCTTTCTGTGTGACTCCCAATCTAGGGCTGCACACCCAGACAAGCCATCAATGGAACTCCCATGGAAACTAATATTGAGGTTGCAAACTTACTCCCATGCAACTTTCCTCACAAAGCAGGATGTGATGCATCAAATAAGGGAGCAAACTGAAAACAAAGAAGACAAGGGACCCAAGAAAGGAGTTAAACTGGGCCTGAAGGCACACGCCTGCAAGGTTACCCAGCACTTGGGGAGGCTCAGGCAGAAAGATCACAAGTCAAGCACAGCCCAGGCACCTAACGACCTGGCAAAACCCTGTGTCACTTTTTTTTTTTTTTTGGTGGAACCGGGGATTAAACTCAGGCCCCTGTGCTTGCCAGGCAAGCGCTTATCCTACTGAGCTATGTCCCCAGCTCCTCAAATAAATTTTAAAAGGACTACGAAGCACATGGGCCCAGATTTAATTCCTAATACTGGAGAAACAAAATAAAAGGAGGTTAAAGCCAGATATGGTGGGGGTGTACACCCGTAATCCTAACATTCAGGAGGCTGACACAGAAGGACCACTGTGAGTTCAAGGCCAGCCTGGGCCACATAGTGAGTTTAAGGCCAGTTTGAACTACATAGTGAGACCCTGTCTCAAAAGAAAACAAAAAAGGCTAAAGGAAGACCCTAGAATCTCTGATGCACACTAAAGCAACCAGTCAAAATTAGAGAAGATCAAAACTGAGTAAGACCACAACACAAAATACAAGAAAGATGGAAAGATGGAACAAGGGCCAATGTGAGGCAATGCTGAGACACTGAAAGGTCAGCAGTCAGAGGAAAATAAACCTCATCCTCAAATAGAAGGTCAAAATGTAAGGACTAAAGCTGAGAAATAAAATACCAACATAAGCGTGTCAAAACATTATCAGAAAACTATCAAACTAAGACCTGAAAGTTGGTGCCTCTAGAATGGGGGACCTAAGGTGGGTGCTTTTCTAAACGATGTGGAAGCAGCACCATGTGTAGCCTTTAGTTATGTCCGTGTTTAACTCTGATTAAAAACTAAAAGTATAAAGATCACAGGAATGAACAAAATAACACCATCTTTGATAAAAGTTAACACTACTAAAAACCACAAATTAAACAGATTTCATCTTTTAAAATATAGTAATAAAAAATAAAGATACAGTAAAAGCAGAGTAAGTGATTGTTTTCCATTGGGTAATACCTTCTGATTCTCTTCCACTTCAGTTCTAAGTTCTGAATTCACAGCTGTTTTCGTTATGGCTCTATGGGATAAAAATAGTATAAGTATATGGCCTAACATTTGATATTGTCTTTAATGTTCCTATTTTTAAAAGTATGAAACATATTCTTCAATAAAAAGGCAGAAAACGAGAATAGACAAAACCTCCAACTTTTACAGTTGATGCACATACTTTTCCTTACTATATAACACCAAAAAAGTTGCATGAGTATTGTAAAGTAAGTACAGTTGTCTCTAAGTTCTTAGTTGAATATGCTATCCAACTGTTATGTTTGAACTCTAATGCTCAAAGATAAAACATATGTTAGATAAAGGCAGCAAACTTTTCATCCTCTGTAAGCACTATGGCAGAAGAGGAATCCTCCTTGTGTATCTTTACGTAATATATCAGAAAAACAATTCTAAGCTAGGACTTATAAATTATAGGGTTAAAAATTTTATCTACAAAGCATTTCACATCAGAGGTCAAAACAGTTCTTTCATTGAGTCCAGAAAAAGATTGCCAATGGTTTCTATCAGCAATCTTGCTTCTAAAACAATTTTGCCTTGCATGTATGAGAAGTAAATGAAAAATTATAAACAGAAAACAATGTTTAAAAGTTCAAAACCCTACTCTATTACTATGAGCAAATCGTTTAGCCTATCTGGCTCTGTTTCTTGGGCAGAATTAATAACATGACACACACAACCCTTTAGGAAGCAACAGCCTGTGCCAAACTCAATCAGTTACAGCAGCATATGCTGTAACTCCTCCAATCCTGAAAGGCAGGCACTGCTATTCCGCTGCTGAGGTAAATGAGGTGGAGTAATGATTTATTTGCAGGTTGCACCACTAACAACAGGCAGTGCCTGCATCCATCTCGTCAACCACATAATGCAGTTTTGTCTACTTCTCAGAAACAGGGCACCATGCACATGAGTAACAGTGATAAAACTTTCATATCTAAGTATTTTCCTATTTTAATTACATCTTTTAGCAAGCAAACAAGAAAATAACTGGGTATGTTAAGCAGAAGAATGTATCAAGGTCTTACTTTGTATTACCTGGCTTTGGTGGGAAAATTCTGACTAAGATCCTTCATAACCACCAAAGCTAGCTCAGCAGGAGCAGCCAAGATTCGGGCAGCAGTCTGGAAACTGAGGTCTGTAACAATGTCAAATGGAAGTTAAATGGTATTAATCCAATGCAGTGAAAAGCAGAAAACATTCAGCCTTGCTTCCCACTATGCTCCTGATAATAAACAGTGCCTTATCATGCAACCACTCACAGAGCTCATGATCTAGTTGCAGGTTCATTCACCTCATGGCTCCACACTACTCACTGAGACATGCCTGACCTACTCAGACAAACTAAAATATTCAGCAAAGGCTAAATGGAGCCCAAACCTTTTGCTTCTTCTCAATTTAAAATATATCACAGGGGGCCAGAGATATAACTCAGTGGCTAAGTGCCTGCCTGGCAAGTGCAAGGTCCTGAGTTCAATCCCTGGTACCACCAAAAAATAAAAATTAATTAATTAATTAAATTTAATTTAGTCTATCACATGCCAGGTATGGTGGTACACACCTATAATCCCAGCACCTGAGAGCCAGAAGGGTCACTGCTGAGCTCAACAACAGCCTGGGCTACATAGTGAGTTTAAGGCTGGCCTGCACATAGCAAGACCTTGCCCCAAAAAATAAAGTATCAAAACATAGCTTAAGGGCCAGCAAGATAGCTTAGCAGACTAAAGCACCTGCTTAGGCAAGCGCAGGCACCATGGTTTGATCCCTGGCACCACTAGCCATGCCAGCCCCACCCCTAGGGTGGGCTGAGCCAGCCAGAGTCTGGGCATAGTGGTGTATGCCTGTAATCTCAGTTCTGGGGAGGCTGAAAACAAGAGGATCACCATGAAGCTGAGCTGCGTAGAGAGACTCTGTAATAACCAAATACATTAAAAAAAAAAAAAAAAAAAACCTATAGCTTAAGGCATTTAGCAATTATGGTAGAAAAATTTTGGTACAATGGTCTTTGGAACAGGAAGGTACCCATAATTCTACCTCTTATCTCCCTTAAAGACCCTGCAGATACACCATTTAAGAAATGTAAACATACAAAAAAAAAAAAAAAAAAAAAAAAAAAAAAGAAAAGAAAGAAATGTAAACATTCAGAGGCATAAAACTAGATACATATTTCTAGTGTTGCATGCTTATGTATTTGGCCACAGAAAGAAGGTTATGGTACTCATTTATATGTATTGCTTTCTCCTAACATTATTTGTCTTCTAAAGTACTTGCTTCTTTTGTTCTGTGATCATAATCACTTTATCTTTAAATTCTGTGGTGCTCATGATCATGAGAATATATCCAGTTAAATTTAAATTCTACATATTTTATTACCACAAAATTTATCAAAATGTAGGCTAATGATTTCTCCACACTTTTTTACCTTGTAATTGCCAGACTTTCAAAGGCGCCATTTCATTGGTGCTCTCTACGAGATGCTTTCTGAGTTCTTTCAACTGTCCAGTTAGCTCAGGGTGCAAGTCTCTGAAAGAAAATCATTCCTTTTAGCTGTCTCTTTCTGGCAACACACTTAAGACAGAAGAAGGCTCCTAGTTTATCTTCATGATTTTCTCTCTCAGGGCTGGCGAGATAGCTCAGCAGTCTAAAGCGCCTGCTTAGGCAAGGCGCAGGGGACCACAGTTCGATCCCCAGCCCCACATGCCTTGACAGCCCCACCCTGAGGGTGGGCTGAGTCAGCCAAAAAAAAAAAAAAAATTAAATTATTTTCCTCTCAATCCTAAGAAAACATCTTTAAGACAGGCCAAAAAAAATTAGTACAGCAATTTTCCTCCAAAAATAAATATAGACATTGTAAGTTAGCTCAACCATCATAAGGTTTGTATATTAAAAGATAAATCACATAACAAAAATTCAGAGAAATGATAAACAGTATTGATTTCTCTTCTTCCACATGAAAGATTGAAATGATCAATGACATAGTACATGTACATTATTTATAGCATCCAATTCAACTGCACCAGAAATAGGTTGAATAAGTCTTGAGAACTAATAATAGAACAACACTAAGTATTGGGTTGAGGACCATTTTATTGATAATAAATGCCCCCCCAATTTTTTTTTTTTTTTGCAGAACCAGGGATTGAACTCAGGCCCTTGTACTTGCCATACGCTTATTCTACTGAACTATCTCCCTGATCCCCTCAAAATGTTGAACTTGAGACAAAGACTTGTTCATTTTAATGCAAACTGGGCATTGAAGGAATTTAAAATTTGCTATTCCTAGAAGCTCCTAAAGAATACATACCAAAGTGTTTTGAGAACTTCATCCCAACCTACTTTAAAGACTTATACAAAATGAAGTTGTTATGACATAATTATAATGCATAGCTGTTGGGCCCACATTCTTGATCTTATACAGTATCCATAAAACAAACTTGAGAAAAAGAAATTCATACCCATTATTGGAGAAGGACTATATATGCATGCACATGGTCTTTTAAAGAGATAACTCAAAACTACAAGAAAATATTCGCTGTTTTTTTAAGCTTATAGCAAACTGATGTTCTAACTATAGTTTTATGGAGTATGCTTTTATTACTTCATCACTTTAATTAATAGAAATTGTCTTAAATGTGTAACTATTTGCATTTAGGTAAGCATTTATGTACTGTGCAACTCTTATTTTAAAGTTTTACAAAATATGTATCACTAAAATAGTGACTCTTTACTAGAGAGTAAAAAGACTAAAAGTGGGTATGGGTGAGACCTCAAGTTCACCTATGGTGTTTTACTGATTTGTTCTGTTTTTAAGTAAAAATAAGCCTTGGCTAGGTGTGGTAGTGCATGCTTATACTTCCAACACTAGGGAGGCTGAGGCAGGAGGATTTCTACATGTTCAAGGCTAGCCTGGGCTACACAGTGAGTTCAAAGCCAACCTGAACTGCATAGCAAAACCCTGTCTCAAAAGACAAAAAAAAAAAAAGAAGAAGAAGAAGAAGAGGAGGAGGACGAGGAAGAGGAGGGTGTGGGCCTTATTTGGGGGAAAAAAGAAAACTTGATAAACAGTTCTTTGGGACCACAAAACAAGTGCACCAATAGTCTATTACGGGTAGTGAGCATATGGGTCTATGTTATTCTCCATATTTTTCATGGATATTTTTAAAATCCAAAATTAAACTAAAAAAAGCACTGTCACCAGTCCCAAGAAGAATCTCTTTAAACCTACATGCTCATTAATCTTTCAGTCACATGAGCACAATTTAGGCTAATCACAGTTGTAAGGTTCATCTTGAAAGAATACAATGCATTTGAAAGTGGTAAAACAGTTACCTGAGAACGAAATACCTAACATTTAGGTCGACCAACCAGGCGGCTGGGAGGCAAGTTCTGTGCAGCCCATGGCCAGCACAAACACGCATTCAGATCCCTCACTTTCCAAAATCCCAGTTACAACAGTTTTCCTTAACAAAAAGGCCAAAATGGTCATTCTCTTTGATAGCTAAATAACTATTTTGAATGTCCAAAAGCAAACCGTCTTCAATATTATACATTATGTATTCACATATAAAATCATCTATCAAAAACCCTACAAGCATGAATACGGAAAGGGACTGACGAGATGCTCCCTGGTCACGCAGTAACGAGGCCCAGGCGGGAGAGCAGCTGCGTGGGGGCGCCCAGCGTGCTGGGAGGCTGGGCCGCATGGGGGCACGCTGGATCCCATCAGGCAGCCCCGTGATTTAGCGAGACCTGCTCTTGAAATTTTAAAAATAAAAATAAAGGACTGGGGCTGGAGAGAAGGCTCAATGGTCTAAAGCACCTACTTGGAACAAGCTTAGCAAAGCCCAGGGACCGCGGTTCGATCCCCCAGCACCACATGCCAGCCAGCCCCGCCCCCTGGTGGGCTGAGCTGGCCACACACACACACACACACACATAAATAAATTTTTAGAAAAATAAATAAATAAATAAAGGACTGAAGATGTAGCTCACTGGGTTCCACCCCCAGTGCTGTCAGTATATAAATACATAAAACAGAATCTGCTAAATAAGAAATACACATATACACAGAACTAATTCAATGTGTCCATAGCAATTCAAACTTAAACTAAAACATCACCGAAGTACCAATCTGGTTAAATGATCTCATTCAGCCAAATGTCAAGGACAAGGTATATAAAACTGAGCCAAGCACATACTCTTTAGACGTGAAGGCACTCTATTTACAATAAAATAGGTAAGGCCCTGCCAGATAGCTTGGTGGATTAAAGCGCTTGCTTAGGCAGACACAAGGGCCAGGGGTTCAATTTTTTTTTTTCTTTTGGCAGAACTGGGGATTGAACTCAGGCCCATGTGCTTGCCAGGGAAGCACTTATTCCACTGAGCCATCTCTCTGGCCCCTTGGATTCAATCCTTGGCCTACCATGCTGGCCCCGCCCCTGGGGCATGCTGAGACAGCGAATGAGGCTGGGTATGGTGGTGCCCACCTGTAATCCCAGCCCTTGGGAGGCTAAAAAACAGGAAGGATCACTACAAGTCCAATCTGTTAGTGAGACCCTATAGATCCTGTACTACAAATAAATAAAATAAAATAAATATAAAATAAAACAAAATAAAATCGAGAACCGGGGATATATAGCTCAGCAGCATAGCACATGCCTGGCAAATGCAAGGTCCTAAGTTTAATTCTCAGTACCACTAAAAATAAAATAGGGCTGGTGACATAGCTCAGTGGCACAAGTGCCTGCATGGCAAGCACAAGGTCCTGAGTTTGATTCCTAGTACTGAATAAATAAATATAATAATAAAAGTACACCACAGGAGCCGAAGAGATACTCAGTGGGCTAAAGCACCTATTTAGGCAAGCTTAGGCAAATCCAGGGACTGCATTTCAATCCCCAGCACCACATGCCAAGCCAGGGTGGGCTGAGTGGGCCACAGTCCAGGCTCAGTGGCTCACACCTGTAATCCCAGAACTGGGGAGGCTGAAAGCAGAAGGATTACTATGAGTCCGAGCTGCACAGTGAGGCCCTATAACAACCAAATATATTTAAAACACACACACACACACACACACACACATGTCTTAGATGAAATTTCCAGATAAAGAGGAACCCAGAGCTCAGCCCCACCCACCCTAATGCTCACCTGAGCTCGGCTGAGCTGAGCTGCGGTCACTTCTCCTACCACCCAAGGAGATGAGGCACACAGAGAACAGCTCCAGGGACCTGGTGAGCCCTGCTCCACTCCCTCCCCAGCCACACTCCCTAACACTGCAGGAGCTCAGCTGAGCTACAACTGTCAATCATACCATCACCTCACTGTAGCTCCGCTCAGCTGCTGCTGTCTGTCCCACTAGTGGCAGGAGCTATGGTGAACCCTACCCTGTGGCCTGCACCCCCCCATCAAGAGAGCCTTACAGAGCTTTGGCAGGCCCTTATCATCAATGGCTCTTTCTTATGTGGCAGCTTGCCCCTCCCCAGCTCCCACACACACTAAGATAGAAGCCATGCTGAACTCCACACAGTGGGAGCTTTCGTGAGCCTACCCTGCCCTCCCAATCTCGTGGGAGCCTTGCTCACCCAAACCTAGTCTCCCTACCACTGCTGCTGAGTAAAGGTGAAGACTGGAAGCTTCAAAAATGTCAAAATGAAAAAAAAAAAAAAGAAAGTCAACATGAAGGAACAAAGGGCAATCTCAGACCTCCAGCCCACCCAAAACAAGTCCTAGAGAAAAAGTCACAGAAGAACTTGGAGATCACATACCTAAAGTTTCTTAAATGATAGCAACTGAAGTAAAGAAACAACTCCATCCAGCTATGGAGGAAATCAGAACAGAAATAATCTCTCAGGTAAAAAAAGAATGACAACAATCATGAAAGAATTGTTCAGTACATCTAAAGAAGACATAAAAAAATAGAGAATAGAAAAGTGATGGAAACACTGAAGAAACAATATAGGAAAGAACTAGAATGCATGAAACAGATACAAACTGATATTAGAAGAACATTAAGAATTCCACTGAAAGCTGGCAAAACTACTTGAATGAAGTTGAAGACAGAATTTCAGACCTTGAAGATAGCATTGCAGCTAGTGAACATGAAAGATCTCTTAAAAATAACAAGGAACTAGGAAATAAAAAGGCAACAGCTGCAAGATGATGCAAAGAAAAATAAGACTCATCAGTATCAATGAAACAGCTGGAAAGAATCAACACAAATGACATAAAAAAAACTGTTCGCAGAAGTAGTACCAGAAAATTTCCCAAGCATGCGAAAAGAATCTGA